TGTTTGGGCAGGGCTGCCCAAGAGGAACCAGACTTTTGAAGCAGAGGGAAGAAAGCACTCCCCACCACCTCCAAGCTGGGGGATGGGTCAGCCACCAAGGGAATGGGGGGAATTGGGCAAAGCATCTCCCCCAGCGCTGGCCGAGGGGGAAAGAGTGCAGCACTGCCACCAAAGGGAACAAAAGCAAGAAAAAAAGAGGTGGAGAATGGTGGTGGTCAGAGGAGCCCTGTCATCATCCCCCAATCTTTTGGTACTGGGCTACTGCCCTTGGTTCCACCCAGGTCCCCTTCTTTAGCGGCTCCTTGCCAGGAACAGGGCTGCCACTGGCCTTGAAACAGGAAGGGTGAAAGAGCAGGCTGGTGTTTTCCCTGTGGAGTGCCTGAGAAAACGCCGTTTCCACACTGCGTGGTCACCAACATCTCGATATGTGAGTGTGTGTATGTGCACATGCGTGTGTGTGTCTGGGGGTGGGGTGGGAGGGTTATTTTGGGGCTCTCATGGTAGCTCAATGCAGTGTTCAGCTTCCGGTGTTCCCCCTGACCCCAAGTTCCACTTTGGGTGACAGCTGTCCCCGCGCCTGGGGGAGGGAAAGCTGGCAGAAGGGACAGCCCTGCCACCCCCATCCCCACGCCCAGGGTCTCTGCCAGTGCTGGGGTGGCTCAGCCCACTGGGGATGACACGGCGGGGATGGGGAGCAGCCCTTGTGCCAAGTGGGGACACTGTGACCTTCGTGCACCCTGAGGAGCCGCCCCCTCTCCCTCGCTCGCCCGCGCGCTTTCTCTAATGCACGTTCGTGAAAAGGGCCCCTGACGCGCACCCGTGTTGGGACATTTCTTTTGTAAAGCTGATCGTGAACAATAAACGTGATGTTTTCTGTTCGAGCCTCCTGCGGAGTGCGAGGTTGCTGGGGGGACGGGCGGGAGCGGTCGGCCCAAGATAGATGAGGTGACCTTCTGCAGGGTGTTCAGGGCCTCATCACTGAAGGGAGTTGGCTGGGCCCACCGCTGGCACTACAGGAATATCGTCACAGGGGTTTGGTGTTGTTGCCCCAGAGGAGCAAGGGATGGTGTCACAGTCTGGCCACCTTTGATCTACCCCACTGCAGAGCACTATGGGGTACAGGCTGTGGCTGGTGGGGCATGAGAGCTGGGGAAAATACCTCTCCATGGAGAGAAACAAGTAAGAAATCAGAGCATGAGAGCAAGGAACTCGCATTGAGTAAAAATCTAATTAAGCAGTAGTAATGAGTTTCTGACCTAGCTAGGCACAAGATGGTTCAGGCACGACTCTTGGAGCTCCTATTGTAGAACAATTCGTGACCAGGTCTGCATGGTGCTTTTGCCTCTCAGTGGGTCCTGCTCCTCCTACGAAAAGCACAGCTTTCACCAATATTTGGGGGAAACAGCACAAAGCCAGAGGACTGAGTTTTTCCATTGTTGGCATGCTTGTGGGATCTCCTCTCTGAGTCAGAGCTGCCCCCCCCACTTCTCCTTCTGGAGAGTATTTAATGCCATAAAAGAAAGGTTGGCACTCTCACCTTCAGCACATCTTCAGAAAGCTGAGGGCTGGTTTTGAAGAAAAAGTATGTACTTCAGCTGGAACATTGGTTCAAGGGCCTTGCCGAGCTGAAGGCTCACACCCTCATAACTAAGAGGAGAGGGTTCAACAGGTGCCATCTGCTCGTGTGCCCAAACACCAGCAGCATAACTGAGAAGCACAACATTTTTTAGAGGAGGAAATGTCAAAAAACACTACTGGGATCATAAACTCAGAAAGAGATTAAATGGGGGAGGGGATGGGGAACTGGTCCAGAAGACCCTCCTATCAAAACTGCAGAAGCCCTGCAAGAGGGCTCTTGGGGCTGCTGGCCAAGGCAGGAGAAAGGATGAAGAAGGATGGAAACAGCCTGGCCACTGCTGATGTAGGCTATTGGCAAAACACCCATCTCCTCCGGAGCCCGGAAACCCGGCCCACGTTAAAACTGTGTGTAAATCCTCTCCAGAAAAGCAGAAACAAAGGGGACACGCAGAGATGCTTGATCAGAGCCTTCGGTGCTGCCCTCCTCATCCCTGCCAAATGATGCTGGCATGATCCTAATCCCAGCCATGTCCCCAGGATGTGGAGCTGTCATTTCTGGAACAGGAGAATGGGGGGAGCTCAGTGGCAGAGCTTCTGCAGGGCAAGCTCCTCTCCCCCAGAGGTTCACAGCCAGTTAGGCAGACCTGGGGGCACACAGGAAAATTTGATAGAATTTTCCCAAATCTTTTAAAAGCTTCCAGCAAATGCCTCCACATAAGGCTCTTCAGGAAACAAAGGCATTATGGAGAGATTAGAAACTGGATGGCAGACGCAAATGAAGAGCAGAAATAAATATTTGATTTTCATCCTGCTCTGGCTCCCTGCAGGAAGCGATGTCTGCTTCTTACCGTCTGAGGAGGAGGAGAGCAAGATGAGACCATTTCTTTTCACTAAGCCAAGCCTTGCAGGAGCTGCAAACCTGCGACAGGGCTTAAAAGGTAGAGGAGATGACAAATCAATAGCGTTGCTGGCTGCAAGGAGTAATTACAATGGCTTACACATATTGCTTGCTTCTAAATTAACCAGGAGCACTCAGGAGAAGCCCTGTGTCTCTCTAAGGGCAGCTGTTTAGAAAACAACGTGTTGTGCACTGAAGAGATGAGGAACAACAAAGTCAGCCATGAGGGAAAGAGGGGGGGTAAAGAAGGAAATTTTAAACAATGGTGTGGAGAAGGTTTTGTGGTTGTGGTAGGTGCTTCAGATGGTTGGCTGTGTAGTGTCCAGATATCCAGGATAGAGGGGAAAAGGTGGAGGGCACCCAAGAGCTGGGCAGTGCAGGGGCACCGCTGGGCTGTGGCAGTTCAGCAGGAGCTGGCACAAGAGGAGATGGTGTGGGAGACAGGCCAGTGTGATGGATGCCATCCATGTGCTGTCCTCTGTCTCCCTGCCAAGTGGCTGTAAGCACACTTCTAGGAGAGGAAAGGGACTGCCATTTCCTTTCCTAATCTGCAGGACTTGCTGCTGCAGGGCTTTCTGCTAGCCAAGAGCTTAGCCAGACTCAAATACCACCCACCCGATACTCCCAAAGGGTTTTGTCCAGCAGTGAAGAAGACCAAGTCAAACATGGCAACGGGAAACCTTCAGGCCTGATGGCTATTAATTATTGTGTTTGAAAATGCTAATGTTTATGAACCCCTCCAGCTCTGTCCCTCCTTCCAGGGGGCACCACTGGCCATATGGGTTCTGCCTTCCCAGGGACATGGGAAATCCTGGGACCCATGAGTTCAGAATGGACTTTGGGGATCTCCTGTGCTCCCCAATACCTGCAACCTCAGCAGAGTTTGCATGTCACAGCTCCCTGCAGAGTGTCAGCCTCCTGGTGCCCTCAAACGAGGTCAAGCCAGCCCATACTTGTCCCCAGGAGATGACTTCCAAAGCCAGCCCATACTTGTCCCCAGGAGATGACTTCCAAAGTCCCCACTACCTCCTCTGCCCTAGCAATGGGGCGCTGCCTAATTGCCTCCTTTCACCTCCCTGTCCTGCTGGGAGCCTCCCTTGCTCCCTCCCAGAGCCAGGAAGGCTCATTAAGACTTGTGCAGCGCTCGCACAGGGAATGCAACACGATTCCGGAGCATCTGGCACAGGAACAGCCCCCGCACGGCTGCTAGTGCTGCAGCAACAGACCTTACTCACAGTAGCTGTCATTACTAGAGGTAGTAGTTACGGAATCATGTGCTGTGTTTCCCAGCAGACCAGGGGATCTGGCTGTCCCAAAGTGAGCTGCCCTGTCCTCTGGCACAGAGGCTGAGCTGCTCCCAGCTGCCTCCTATTTCTGCACACCAGTGTCCCCATCTCTGCCTTCCCTCAGCTCCACATGGTGGAGGTTCTGATCCCAGCAAAATGTGGCTTCAGCCACGGGGCCTCCTGAGAGGTGCCCCCACACCATCCTGAGGCAGCTGCAGGGTGGACCTCGGTGTGACCCAAGTGCCCAGCCTTGGCCCTCTGTTACTACCCAAGGCAGTGTGGAGCAGTGCCCAGTGCCTGGGCTGTGGCTTGAGCACAGCAAGCTCCAGCCCTCCTGCTTTACCACAAAGAGGAGATGGGGCACGGCGGAGCCTGTACCCACAGGGACAATGGGGAAGTCCCAAAATCTGGCCAGAAACAGGTAAGAAAAGAAAGAAAGAGAAGTGTCCTCCGCCTGATGAAGAGTCAGCTTGCTGTCTGGTCAATGAAGATGACTAAAAGAAAGCATAAGGCAGTATATTTACATTTGTATATTTGTATATTTGGCAGTCAGTGGTTACTTCTCTGTGCTCAGCTAAGGAATACAACACACCCTCATATCAGAAGGCAAATGGTACTTTGTTTCAATGCATTTCACTGTGCCTGCTGAAAGCAAAGGGATGAAAGAGTCTCCACCTCTGATTAGTGGCAAATAAGGCATGACCAGCCTTATTTGCCAGAGCCAGAGCAATGCAACAATTCCAGCTACCTACAGATCCACAGGGGTGAACTGAACCCTTGCTCTGGACTTGCTCTCACCTACAGAAGGGTACCTGGTCCACTAGTATTGGAAACTAAAGATCAGGTGATGTGCTGTCTGTACCATCAGAGCCAGCAGCAAAAGGACCCGTACATGTAACCTTTGTTGGCTCAACAAGGCTTTGACTGGCTTGCAGAGTTACAGAGAGGCAGCCTGTGGAAACCCTGCATTTGAGGGTCCAGAAGCCAACTGCTCACGTTTTGTTAAGCCAGAGCAGATGGAGACAGGCCAGCAGAACTCTCTCCCCAAGAAGCATCTCTCTCTTGCAGCCCCACTGTATCACCCACCACAATCACAAAAATGTTGTTTTCCCCATCTTTGGGCCCGCTGCAGTTTTTGTTTGGCCATTTTCCTTTAGCTTCTCACCTAGGAGCCACTGATGATTAATCCTCAGGAGCAGTGCCAGCATTCCCCGAGGGAAACGCTCGCAGGGGTCACATTGATCAGAAGCAAAGCACATTTATTTGAACCCAGAATCACATGGACAAGCGTGCTCCCCCCTGCCCCATGCACAGAGGCACATGCACACAAACACACCAGCTCACACTCACTTGCTGCTTGGTAGTAAAAGTGGGTGAACTACACAGGGATTAAAGCATTAAAAAAAACACAGCAAGAACACGGTGCTTGAAAGTGCCGTGTCCCTGGAGAGATTAGAGTAGCTGCCTGGAGATAAAGTAATGATGATGGAAAGATCTTCTTCCTCGCAGAGATTCTCTTCCTAATTATCTTGTCTGAAAAGAAAAAATGATGATCTCCTAGCTTTTATCTGTCTCTTGACAATTTTAGCTCTGTGCCTGCCTTGTTGCAAGAGGCCCAAAAGAGGAAGGAGAAGGAATTAGCCCAGGAGGCAGGAATGGTAGGAGAACGAGCGGCACAGGAGGCAGTGCTTCATTTTTGTCACCACCAGCAGCCACAGAAAAGGAAAAAATGAATGATCACCACAGCTTTGTCTTCCCAAGCCCTAAGGCTGCTTCCCTGCCTCCAGCACGGCTCTGCCAGGCAAAGGACAGCCAGGAGGTCGGATTCAGTGCTGAACCTGTGAAAGAAATAACAAGGCGTTCTCCCCATGATCACAGGGCAGAGCTTGGTGCTACAGTGAGGGAAGAGGACTCCTGAGCTGGCAGGGGCAGGAGAACGCCCAGACTGTTCCGCCCCCACTCTTTTCCTTCTCGAACAGCTGGAAAGCAAATTCTTCTTTCAGCAGGCAGCCAGCAGCAAGAACATTTCAAACACACACCAGCCAGAAGGACCACATGAAAAATCAGACCCATGAGCCACTCTGCAGAACAAGGATGGCCACTGGTGGAAAACCAGGCATCACACCCAGCAGCTGGGACTGTGAACAGAAATCTTTCCCTTGGTATTATCCTTGCTGCTTCTCCATCCGTGTTAATTTCAGATGAATGCAATGCTAGACCTCCCTGAAAACTGTTAAAAGTCTTGGTTTAGAGGCAATCGGTGTTTGGCTAGCAGGGTGCAGAGACACCAGAGGTTTTGCAGCAAGCCCAGAGGCAAGGAAAACCTCAAAACAAGCAGACATTACAAGCATAAAGCTATTGGGGGGACGGGGGGAGATTTTTTTCAGTGGGGTTGGAGGCTGGTGCTATAGGAGCTGTTTGCAAAGTCATGATTCATCCCCACAGCATCACTTTCTTACATCCTTACAACATCAACATCCTTACACTGCTGTTGACATGCAAACAGGAGCTGTTGCCTCTCTCACACAACGAGAACGGTGTCCAGTTCTGGAATCCCCAGTTCAGGAAGGACATTGAGGTGCTGGGGCATGTCCAGAGAAGGGCAATGGAACTGGTGAAGGGTCTGCAGCACAAATCCTGTGAGGAGCAGCTGAGGGAGCTGGGACTGTTCAGCCTGGAGAGGAGGAGGCTCAGCAGTGACCTGATCACTCTCCCATTCCCTGAAAGGAATGCAGCCAGGTGGGGGTCAGCCTTCTCTCCCCAGCAACCAGACAGGACAAGAGGACAGTCTTAAACTGCACGGGGCAGGTTCAGGCTGGACATTAAGAGGAATTTTTTCACAGAAGGTGATCAGACATTGGAGTGTGCTGCCCATGGAGATGGTGGGGTCACCGTCCCTGGAGGTGTTTAAGGAAAGACTGGCCAGTGCCATGGTCTGGTTGACATGGTGGTGTTCGGCCATGGGTTGGACCACGATCTCAGAAGTCGTTCCTAACCTGATTCTGTGATTAAAAAAAAAAACAAACAAAATTGCTCCAAATCGCTCTTTGTTCTTATATTTATCCTTGTCGTTTAAAAGAAAAAAAAAAACAAAAAACAAAAAAACAACAAACCACAAAAAAACACCCCAAAACAAACCAAAAAACCCCTAGAACTAGAACTAGATCCCTAAGAGGTTTTAAGTCAGAAAAATATACATTAAGTTGCCGGACGCCAGGTTGGAGGTCGGGGGGCCCGGGACAGCACAGGCGCTCCATGGCCACCCCACTGCCGCCTGCGCCCCAAG